TGGATGGTGCGACATGACCCATAGTGCGCCAGAACGCTCACCACACATCAGATATCAGCGGGGAGGAGAGCAGAGTAATGAAGCCAATTCATAGATGGGGATTATTAGGAGGCCATGATTGGTAAGGGCCAATGGGAAATTTGGCCAGGACGCCTGGGTTACACCCCTACTCTTTTGGAGAAACTTCCTGGGATTTTTTAATGACCACAGAGAGTCAGGACCTCAATTTTATATCTCATCTGTCTCCCATCTAGGTACTGACCAGGCTCACACCTGCTTAGCTTCAGTGGGTTGCCAGTTGTGAGTTGCAGGGTGATATGGCTGCTGGCCATCATGTATAGTGTATAAGTATAAAGTATAGAAGCCTATTAGCCCTACAGAAAAAAAAATGCATTTAAACAAGATATTTTTTGTCTTTTAAATGCAATAATTACTTTATAAACAATAATGCCTAATATATTAATACCTTTCAATATATGTGCCATAATATATAATACATAATACAAAGTACCATTTGAATTAACAAAAGAGAATATTGTTACATTCCACATTATGCAAATTATAAATAGGGACATTGTGGCAATCATTATTTAGAAAACATAATTCAAAAACTATACTGTAACCTGTAACATACCTGTACAAGGATTGACAGAAATATTCTGAATCTCGATATGTTTATAATGAGCATTATTTACTAACATTACATGGCATTGTGCTCTAGTGGCACTGAAAGGGAGTATCTTCATGGTGGCCAATTAATCACATGTAATAGAATAATGAATATTATTGGAAGGGTTCTGTATAGGCCTCTGCTTCCTGTAATACTGTAGTAATACGGACACTTTCATTTCATGTGTGATTATCATGACATTCTATTGAGACAGAATTAACAATCAGCAAAGCTTATTATTTTTGTATGAAGATTATGCAGGAAGTTGTGTTTTCTAATTGCACTGAAATATTCTGACAATTGATAACAATTAATCTTCCATAACAGAGAGGCTCAGAGAGGGAAAGGTTTGTCATGACTAGCACAACGTTACTCTTGGAGTCTTTTATTAAGGACATGGAAGTTGGTGAAGGGGAATTCTAGCTGGATCAATAGTAATTGGCCTTTGAGTGCACAAAAAAGCTTGACTGAGCCCTGTTGAGGATTGAGCCAGAGTGGAATAACATATAAAGTAGCTGTGCCACTTGCCAAACAAGGATTCACACCCATATTTAGAAGAGAATCATCAGGATAAATGTAAAACAATTAATTGGTTTCTGAAAGATGGCACAATGTTTTTCAGGAAACTGACAAAAAAGCAATAGAATACTTAAATATGGCAAAGTAGAGATATTGTATCTATCTAGCATGAAAACCACTGCTGGATGATTTTTTCAAATCATAAAAACATTTTATAAAGTCACATCTCAGCATTTCTACAATGAAGGCTATTTGGTTTGTGTGGGTAAATTTTGACCTTGACTGTCCAGTCCTCTGTGACAAACCGTTGAAAGACAATCAAATCTACAAAACATCTCTTCAAAAGAAAAATACATGAGCTGCAAAGAGCTCAATGATGAGAGGGCAGAACTCTCTAAAAAGTAATACTTAATTGTAAACACTACCATATATTATTTGACTTATTATAAATGTTAAATAGCCGTTTTTGTTTATAGGGCTCTGCCGTAAGATGGAATGTTTGTGTTTGACAGTTGTAATGAAATGATGTTTCACTTGTTTAAAGATTTAAACAATTTAATGATCCATCAAGTTCAGTCAGTAATCCATCGAGTTCAGTCAGTACCAAATATTTTAATAAATATTTATATTAATTTAAATCTTAAAATTATTTGGTACATTTAGGTTTGTGACAAAAAGATACAGTACCATTCTTTCTAGGTTCTCGGTCCGCTTTATACAATTTTGCTGTCAAGATTCACAGTTTGATTCAAACCCTGCTTTTGATCAAGTAGGCTACCTCGAAGTTCCTTGTCTTTTCAACAGTTTCTCTCAATGGAGATGGATTTGGGGATTCAATCAAGGTATTCCCCTTGAATTTCAAAGGTCAGTGTGACATAAAGGCAATACAAAATTAGTCACAACCGATCACATTGGATTGTAATATATTTACAGTGTCTTAAAGCTATCTGATTATGATGTTTCATTTAGTTCCATACCCTAATTAATATGGAGTAGAGGTGTAATTTGAATTAGTTTGCTTTATTGGCATTCACTCATTTGGCTGAAAAGTTTATGTTTATTAGATAATGAGATCTAATTGTGGGTGATGATAATAGGGTCAGTTCTGCTTACAGCTGGTGGAGAGGAGAAAAAGGACTAGAGCATCTTGCTGGAAGATGAATGTTCTCCCAAGTCCCAGGTCTGATGTAGACTGCAGCAGGTTATCTTTCAGGATTTCTCTGGACTTTGCTGCATCCATTTTGCGTTCTTTCTTCACATGTCTTCCAGGCCATGATGCAGTGAAGCATGCCCATCTAGCATGATACAGGCACCAACATGCATTACAGCAAGGGATGGTGTTCTCAGGATACTGTGCATTGTTACACTTGCCCCAAATATAGTGCTTAGCGTTGAGGCCAAAAAGATCAGTTTTTGTCTCATCAGATTGTAAAATCTGTTTCCACTTGGTTTTAGAGTCTCCCACATGCCTTCTGGCAAACTGTAGTTAAGGTCTAATGTGAGTCATCACATCATCTATGTCAACGTCTTTTGTTTGTGTGTGAAGGTTTGTGAACCACCCATGCAATTGCTGCTGTATGCACAGTTTCTCCAATCTCAGCCATGGAAGACTGGAATTCCTTTAGAGTTGTCATAGTGGTGACTTCCTTGACTGGTCTCCTTCTTGCCTAGATACTCAGTTTTTGAGGATGCACTGTTCTGCACAGATTACTTTATAATGGACTTTCAGTTCAGTTTATTGTCATATGCACAAGTGCAATGAAATGCTTATTTGCATGTATGCTCCAATACAAAAACAGTAATTAAAATATAAACACAGAACAGTGGCAACACCAACAACAAGTTAAATAACATACTGTACATCTTAGAAATAAGAACATCTGTGACAGCCAGTGGTAGAGGTAGAGTTCAGTAATCTGACAGCTTGTGGGAAGAAATGTCTCTGAATCTGGAGGTTTGTGCCTTTATGCTCCTATAACACATACCAGGGGGAAATGGGAAGAGAAAAGTGAGAAACCAGGATGACTGGTATCCTTAGGAATACGTCCAGCCTTTCTAACACAGCAAGTTGTAAAAATGTCTGAAATAGAGGGGAGCTGTACTCCAATCATAGACTGGGCTGACCTGATCACCCCCTGTAACGCCTTCCAATCAGACAACGAGCTGCTGCCAAACCACACTGTAATACATTACACTCTCAATATTCCCCCATGTAAAATCTGGTAAGGACAGTTGAAAATGATGATGGTAGTGTCATCATCATATTTATAGGTGTAATTGGAGCTGTGTCTGGCCACACAATTGTGGGTGAACAAGGACAACAGCTGGGGGTTAAGAACACAGCTCTGAGGGGCACATGCAGTATATTGATGGTCAGCGTGGAAGAAAGTTTTCCATTTACCCTCACAGTCTGTGGTCTGCTAGTCAGGAAATCCATAATCCACCTGCATAGAGAGGTGTTGATGTCCAGGTGTATTGCCCGGGTGTTTATTGTGCTTTGGGCATATTCAATGCCGAGGAAATTTTCTCATACCCTTTCGCTGATTGGTACTTTTCAATAACCGTATCTTGGATTTGCTTTGAATGTTCCTTTGTCTTCATGATGCAGTTTTTGTTGAGAGCTGTAGTTATCAACTTAATTGCACACATTAGGATGCCATTCCGTGACTTCTAAGGACAATTGGTTGCACCAGAGCCTCTTTAGGTGTTTCATAGCAAAGGGCGGTGAATATTTACAGAATGCAATCAATTGTTTTCTGTTTGCTATTTATAATTTAATTTTGCAGGAGCTGAAGATTTCCATTTTCACTTAAACAGATTTCTATTTTGGCAAAACATCCCAGTTAAATACATTATGATTCCATATAGTAACACAATAAAATGAGAAAAAGTCCGAGGGTGTGAATACTTTTAATAGCCACAGTAAATTGCTGGTCATATTAAAAATAAAATTGAGGCCCATACCTGCTAAATTACTGTGCTAGTGCTATGTCCATCTAATTGTAAATTTCCATTTAATTGGAACATTTAAAACAATTGCTTAAAAATCACAGTGAATGATACCATGATTTAATAACTGACAAAATGTAATTACTTTTTTATATGTATCTATTTTATTGTTTTCAATTCAGGTAAAAAAAGAAAAAATACACAAATCTGTATTATTAACATAAAATTTAATGTCTGGGCATGTTATTCAAAAATGTTGTTTTTCCCTTTTTTTGCTATCAAAAAAAAGCTCTTTAGTGGACTTAAATCATGAGAGAAAGCTATTAATCATAGTCAGGTTCAATTGTTTGCAGTTTCTAGTCTGATTGAGTGTCCAATTTTCATTTTAACAAATGTAATTGTGTTTTAAAAAAGGTACTTGTATAACTGCCTATATTTTGCTAAGGCCTTCAATTTTATTGTTTTGTTCATTTGTTTTGGTTTAATGCATATGAATCACCACTGAGTTTTTATGTTTTCAATTAAGTGTTACACAGAGTATGAATCTTGTTCACCCTTATGAAAAATGTAGCATTGCTTATGGTAGTAAAAGCAAAGTCAAGTGCACAGTGAAATCATGGTAAAAGCATGGTAAACCCTAAATTGGTACATACCTATATGGTAACACATTGTTGATCCACATGATGCAGAACCGTGGAAAAACAAAATAAATGCCATAAGCATGGCAAAAACACTGAGAATTGTTCAGCAGGTGAGCTATAGTAAACATTTATAATGTTAAGCTCTTTACCTTTTATGACAACATTACATTCTATGCTTATTAAAATATTAAACTTAGTTTTCTTTTTTTCTGTCATTTCAGCCATTCAAAACAGTCTTTACAACAGTCCACGTCTTCGACAAATTTGGGAGAATGTACTCCAATGCTGGAAAAATTGTGTGAGAAACACCTCCAATTAATTGTAGCACTTTATGTGTTATGAAATGCTGTGATAAATAAAATAAAACAGGATCAAAATGCAGTATGTTTATTTTTTCTTTGTCATCCACACTTGTCTACAAGGTACTAACTTTTTAATATATACATACACTATTATAAATGAATGCATCTTTAAATAAGATATAACAATCTTTGGTATATTTTATTGAAAATATTTACTATGTTTGCAAAATGTCTGGGTAAAAAATATACATTTACCCCTTTAGGGTACTTCATCCTTCATAATATCAGTTTTTCTCTCTAAGTTTGAAAGAGATGGAAGAAGCTAATGTCAAAATTTTTTGTCACAATTTTTAAAATTTGCACAAAATTTACTTACATGAGGAAATATTACACTTATTCCTCGTGAAGAAGAAAAGTTGTCAAAGGAATCTTCCCTGAGCCACCCAGTTAATGCACTTTTTCACTATTAGGGAATCTTACCTCCCATAGATACTTTTGTTTTCTGACAAATGCCTAAAGCATGGGTGGGTTTCTAAAACCCAAATTATGTAAATCAATCACCAAAAACAGACAGAAAAATGAAAAAGCAAAAATGAAATAAGCATGTTTCATATTGCAAGTCAGTAGGTTTGCCAAATCCTGAAGTTTCCCATGAAAGATATTCTGTCCTGTAGGTAAACATACCATAGGTAAACAGCCTGGATGGTATTTGCACAAACTGTCCCTTTATCTTATTTGTTAATTGAGGCATTTACAATGGCCAGAGATGCAGGAACCAAACCATTTTAGAAATTATTACCTTGGACTAGTCTTATTGAACAGGAACAAGTAATGGGTTTATTCTATGCTGAAAAGAGAAGAGAGAAAACAAAATGTTTCGGCTGTGGAGCCTTCTTCAGGTGTGAGTCTTCTTCAGGCCTTCTCACACCTGAAAAAGGCTCCACAGCCGAAACATTGTTTTCTCTCTTCTCTTTTCAGCATGGAATAAACCTTGCTGAAAAGAGAAGATTACTTGTTCCTTTGCAGGTTACGCATGCTGATGCAGCTACCCACCTAAACCACTAGTTTAATTGAAGTTACACCATTAAGAAAGCATGCATTGGAATGACACATACTGTATGCATAGTAGGCCCTAAGACAAGATAAAAATGAAACTGAAAGAGAACCTTTGCAAAATTCCATTGAGGTCGTCTAGTATCACCTTCTGCATTGTGTGCTCCAGTATATAGCAATAGCATGGTATTATACATGGGGTTATTTAAAAACTGAAGCTGAGAAGCTGATCTCAAAAGAAAGTGTCAAATTAAATTTGATTTAGTTTTACCTTAGTCCTTTTGCGATTCACTAAAGCCTACTTATTGTTGGACTGTTTTTATTAGTATACTGTATGTATATTGCCAGTCCTTCTTATAATGTTTTCATTATTTTTTATTTTAGATTTTAACCTGTCAGCTAACATAATACAAAACCCTTTAAAAGCAAGATAATAACACAATGAAACTCTGTGTCTTTTCCTTCATTCTCTTGACTTTTCACTGTAGACCTCTGTGTTGTGTTTGTTTTTAATTGAAATCTCAGTTTTGTAATTAAACCCCAGACTTAACTAATAATTTTTGCTAATTTGACCTTTCTGAATTGTTTTTATTTCTGAAATGAAATTTTTATTTTGTTCTAACAATTCAAAAGTAATTTGAATTTGAGGAAGTCCTCACTGGGTCTAGCAGTAAGAAAAAGACTGAATGCTGTGGTTATACAGTACCTCCTACAACTTGTTGCGATTTCTGAGCTTGAAATAGCAAAACAGCTTAAGCCCAGGTTGGTTTTTCTTTGGGGTTCCATCATGAGCTGGTACCTGCACACTTCAGAGCCAAGATAATTTTTAAGTGGACCATTAATTTTGAAAACCTAATTACATCAATTGGCACACACACACATATAGTATTTGCACAGGAAAATCAGAAATTAGTTTAGTGCTGTGCAAACATTTGTGTGCCAATTTGTGCACTTCCACAAAACAAATAGTTATTATCTATATTTGACACAGCTCCATAAATTCAATCACTGAATCATTCTCTCAGTGCTGTGCATAGAAAAACATAAGATAGGGATCTTTGACCCTAGTCATAGAGAGCTCTCGTCCAGCAAGCTTTATTGACAGCCTTTAAATCATCAAATTCTAAAGGAACAATGTAACTATGATTAATTATATAGGTAGTATATTCAGTTAAATAATTTAGAAATCATTTAAAATGAAAATCAAAACATCACCTAGCCCACAAAAATTGGCGTTCTCCATATTGGAACATTACTTGCTTTGGTGATCAGTTGCTGTAAAAAAAGTGATCCTAATCTTTAAAAACAAGAGATTTAATGTGACCTATGTATAAGAATTAATGGAACTCTCCAGGACCAGGGTTTGTGACCTTTTTCATAAAACATATAAATGGTTATATTGGTTCAACAATGATCCAGAATAAAGTGCCTGCAGTGCTTTAACTATTTGTTTTAAGTTGAGGGACCATTGAACCGAGAAACAGATTTTTAATTATATTACATGCTATGAAGTCTTAATTCACAATATCACAAAAAGAAAGATGCAATTCACACTAAGATGGTGGTAAAAAAAAAATTTATATTTAATTTGAGATTGTTATATTTTAAGATTTTAGTGATAATCTTGTCACAAATACAAAAATGGATGTATCAGTGTCTAGATGTACAGTATATCTTATATCAAAGCATGAAATGTATATTTTAAAATGCTTTCAGTTCGAGATAATTTCTCAATGGAGTAAAAATAAGTAGGCAAAACTGAAAAGAAAATATAAAACCTGGTATAAATAGAACTATTCTTAATTCATTAAATATAAACCTTCCTTTAATGCAACAGCAAAAATATAATCAGACAATATAAATGCACTTTATTCTGTGATTTTGTTTTCCTCTGGAATCAAGCTAAATTAAAAAAAAAAGTTTTCAGTGTGTTGGCACTGAAAATAAATGTCCTTTAATTTCAGTGAGTGGAAGAAAGGCGAACTCTGCTGATCTCCATTCTCCCACAAAGATTTAATTCCAACACATAATTCTGAGTGCTTTGTTCTGTACAGCAGTAGCTGCACATCAGCAACCCACTCTGGCCTTCTTGATGAATCAAAAAGCAACAGTAATTTGGAGATGCAAGAGCTATCTCTTTGATTGCTCCTGTTCTACAGTAGTCCATCACTTCACAATAATTCACCTATCGTTGACTCTTTGTCTCAGAAACTGCACTTTCCCATCAACCCGATTAGAAACTGCGTTTCCTTTATCAGATTAATCTTTTTTTCACAGAAAGTTTGACCCCCACAAAAAACAAAGCCCACCAATTGTAGTATCAATGTATGATGTGCAGCTCTTTTTTTGGTCTTCTTTTAGTAGTAGTAACAAAAAAGATTTTTAAATATTCTTAAAAGAGAATTCATGGGGCATAATTGTTGGTGAGTTGCCTACTAATTAACCTACAGTAGTAGATTAATTACTCGTGGGTTCACAAGGTCCTTTTTCAGAACAACATAGCAAACACTTGTATTGTGCAAAGACAGTCTCTGACATTTAAATTTCTTTTTCTTTTTTACAGCAGAATTGCATTAAAACTAACACTGCCCTTTAGTAAGGTTTTATCTCAGTTTTTTTTTTGTTGCTTTCTTGTCTTGTTTTTATTTTAAGATAAAATCGTTCTTCATCTTACAAAAGAAAACACCAGAATATTGCAGGGGCACTGGCACTAGGGGAGCCACAGAGACTGAGGCCCTCTCACTTTTAAAAAGTGGCATACTCATTTGGTTTTCATAAGCATAAACTGTTCATAGACAGTTTTGTGCAAGTGGAGACCAGGATAAAAAAGTGTCAGAGTTAAACATTGTTTGTCCAACCCAACCTCTCTACTCTGTGACTTAAACATACTGCATTTTTGTGATGTTTCACTTTGTTTTATACCATCACAGTGCTTCTATTTTCCATCTCACTGTTTTTATGCCTATATAGTTTTGGGAATTTTTGGTGTCTTTTCACCAATTGATTTGATTCAGTCTTATGACTGAATATTTAGACTGATTAGAAAATAACCCTAAAATACAGCAAAAAAAAAAAGTACAAGCTACATTTGTTATGTAAAGCTAAATAAAAGACATGGTCTCAAGCAGTTTGAAACTAATGAGAAGGAGAAAATTACAATATAACAAGCTAAAATGAATATTTTTAATATGCATCTGGAGTAGATTTATATATGGAACATTTGGCCTGTTTCTGAATTTTACATTATGAAAATAATTTCAAAAATAACTGTGATTTTCTTGATTTTCTCTTTTTATTGATATACCAATTTTGTAGTCGAAGGAAAATACATTTCAATTTATACAAAAAATAACAATATAAATTATTGATCATTACACATTGCAGTAGTTCAGGTGGGTAGCTCTGTCAGCATGCGTAGGCTGCAAAGGAACAAGTAATAGGTTTATTCCATGCTGAAAACAGAAGAAAGAAAACAACATTTCGACCGTGGAGCCTTCTTAAGTCATTAGTTACTCATTTGTTTGCTAAATATTGGAGAAGTATATTTCAGAAAATCTTTTAACGCATTTAGAATACACTTTATGGGGCCTCAACATGCAATTATTTCAATATGTCTCTCTTTTAATGTTAAAGGTGTATAAATAATAAACTAAAGGGGAACTATATGAAGGCTAGATATTATAAACCCAGAGAAGAATTTAGTGGGACACCATGGTTAACATACAAGTTGCAAATGGTGTAAAATCAATTATATACTGTAGTCTCCAGTCACTGTATAGTGCCATTGGCTTGGAGCTTCTGGGTAAGGGGGAAGAATGTCACTTACAGGTCCAGTAACTTGAATTTTCTTGACATTCTCCCTTCCCACTACTGACCAGGTCCAGACTTGCTTAATTTCTGAGGTTTGACAAGCTTAGGGTACAGGGTGATAACACTGCTGCCACCTTGTGTATAAATATTTATACATATTCTCATGACACTTCCTACTTTCTCACTTTTCATTGTTGCAACCTGGTGAAGTTCTTA